AAAAAAAAAAAAAAAAAAAGTAATGTGTTCCACTTCCATCTAGGTTAATACAAATGCTGAAAAATCTCCAAACTGAGACATTACTATATTTTTTGATGACTTCCAGGAGTCTTGTGGTTGAGTCTTTGGGGTTCTCTAAGTATAAGATCATATCGTCAGCAAAGAGGGAGAGTTTGACCTCTGTTCCCATTCAGATGCCCTTTATTTTCCTGTCTTGTCTAATTATATTGGCTAGAACTTCCAGCACTATGTTGAATAGTAATGGTGACAGAGGACAACCTTGTCTGGTTCCAGTTCTAAGTGGAAAAGGTTTCAGTTTTACTCCATTCAGTAAAATATTAGCTGTGGGGTTGTCATAGTAGTGTCAGTCAGCTTAAGAAATGTACCACCTGGCTCGGCGCCTGTGGCTCAAGTGGCTAAGGCGCCAGCCACATACACCTAAGGTGGCGGGTTCGAATCCCCAGCCCGGGCCCGCCAAACAACAATGATGGCTGCAACCAAAAAATGGCCAGGCGTTGTGACGGGCGCCTGTAGTCCCAGCTACTTGGGAGGCTGAGGCAGGAGACTCGCTTGAGCCCAGGAGTTGGAGGTTGCTGTGAGCTGTAATGCCACGGCACTCTACCCAGGGGGGCAGCTTGAGGCTCCGTCTCAAAAAAAAAAAAGAAATGTACCACCTATGCCTATACTCTTCAGTGTTCTAATTAGAAAAGGATGCTCGATTTTATTTTATTTTATTGAATGCTTTTTCTGCATCTATTGAGAGGATCAGATGGTCTTTGTTTTTGCTTCTGTTGATATGGTGAATAACATTTATGGACTTGACTTGTGTATGTTAAACCAGCCTTGCATCCCTGGGATGAAACCTACTTGATCATGATGTATGACTTTTTTGATAAGCTGTAATCTATTGGCTAGAATTTTGTTGAGAATTTTTGCATCTATATTCATTAGTGAAATTGGTCTGAAGTTCTCCTTTTTAGTTGGGTCTTTACCTGGTTTTAGTATCAGGGTGATGGTTGCTTCATGAAATGTGTTGAGGAAGATTCCTTCCTCCTCAATTTTTTGGAATAATTTCTGTAACATAGGAATAAGCTCTTCCTTGAAGGTTTGATAGAATTCTGGTATGAAGCCATCCAGACCAGGGCATTTTTTTGTTGGGAGATTTTTATTGTTTCTTTGATCTCAGTGCTTGAAATTGGTCCATTCAGGAGATCTATTTCTTCTGGGCTAAGTCTAGGGAAAGGGTGTGATTCCAAATATTGATCCATTTCCTTCACATTATCAAACTTCTGGACATAGAGTTTCTGGTAGTATTCAGAGATAATTTCTTGTATCTCTGTGGCGTCAGTTGTTATTTCCCCTTTACCATTTCTGATTGAGGTTGCTAGAGAGTTACTTTTTTATTTCTAGTTAGTCTGGCCAAAGGTTTATCTATTTTATTTATTTTTTCAAAAAACCAACTCCTCGTTTCATTAATTTTCTGAATGATTCTTTTGTTTTCAGTTTCATTAATCTCTGATTTAATTTTGGATACCTTTTCTTCTGCTGGGTTTAGGCTTAGATTATTCTTTTTCCAATTCCATAAGATGGCTTGTGAGTTTGCTGATGCGCTCTCATTCTGTTTTTCAGAATGTAGGCTTCTAAAGCGATAAGGTTTCCTTTCAGGACTGCTTTTGCTATATCCCACAGGTTTTGGTAGCGTGTGTCTTCATTGTTGTTATACTCAAGGAAGTTAATAATTTCCTTTTTTATGTTTTTTTTTTTTTTTTTTGTAGAGACAGAGTTTCACTTTATCGCCCTTGGTAAAGTGCTGTGGCATCACAGCTCACAGCAACCTCCAGTTCCTGAGCTTAGGCGATTCTCCTGCCTCAGCCTCCCGAGTAGCTGGGACTATAGGCGCCCACCACAGCACTCGGCTTTTTTGTTTTTTTTCAGCTTGGCCAAGACTGGATTTGAACCCACCACCCTTGGTATATGGGACTGGCACCCTACTCACTGAGCCACAGGCACCGCCAATAATTTCCTTTTTTATTTCTTCCTGCACCCAACTGTCATTCAGCATAAGATTGTTTAACTTCTATGCCTTTGTGTGAGGTTGAACGTTTTTGTTGGAGTTGAGTTCCACTTTTAGTGCCTTGTGGTCTGAGAAGATGAAAGGTAAAATTTCAGTTCTTTTGATTCTGTTGAGGTTTTTTTTGGTGTCCTAGGATATGATCAATTTTGAAGAATATTCCATGGGACGATGAGAAGAATGTATATTTATCTTTGGGATGGAGTGTTCCATACGTGTCTATCAGGCACAGTTGTTCTAGGGTCTCATTTAAATCTCTGATATCTTTGTTTAATTTCTGTTTAGAGGATCTGTCCAGCTCTGAGAGAGAGGTGTTAAAGTTCCCTGTTGTCGTGGTGTTATAGGATATCATATTGCTCAGACTAAGTAAGGTCTGTTTCAAAAATCTAGGAGCATTTAAATTGGGTTCATAAGTATTTAGAATTGAAATGTCTTCTTGTGTTTTTCCCTTGACCAATATGGAGTGACCATCATTGTCTTTTTTGACTTTAGTTGCTTTAAATCCACATATATATGAAAATAAGATTGCAACCCGTCTTTTCTTCTGAATTCCATTTGCCTGAAAAATTGACTTTGACACCTTAACTCTGAGTTTTAATTTGTCTTTTGATGTGAGGTGTGTTTCCTGCAGACAGCAAATAGATGGCTTGTGTTTTTTAATCCAGTCAGCTAATCAGTGCCTCTTCAGTGGGGGGAATTCAAGCCATTGACATTTATTGAGATAATTGATAAGAGTGGTAGCGTTCTATTCATCTTATTTTGTGAAAGTCCATTGCTTAGTTTTGTCTTTGCATCATTGTGGAAACTAGGTTCTGTCCTTTAATTTCTGAGTGTTTACTTTGCTGAAGGTCCATTGTGATGGTCAGTGTGTAAAACAGGTTGAAATATATCCTGTAAAGCTGGTCTTGTGGCAAATTTCCTCAATGTTTGCATATCAGTAAAAGATATGATTTCTCCATCAATTTTAAAGCTGAGCTTAGCAGGATATAGAATTCTGGGCTGGAAATTGTTGTGTTTAAGTAGATTAACGGTAGGTAACTATTGTCTTCTGGCTTGAAAAGTTTCATTAGAGAAGTCTGTAGTCACCTTGATGGATTTGCTCCTATAGGTCAGTTGGTGCTTATACCTGGCAGCTTGCAAAATCTTTTCTTTTGTCTTGACTTTAGGTAGGTTTATTACAATGTGTCTTGAGAAGCTCTATTTGAGTTGAGGCAACCAAGGGTCCAATATCCCTCTGAAAGAAGTATAAAGAATCTTTGGTGATATTTGGGAAATTTTCATTTATAATGTTCTCTAGAATGGCTTCCATTCCTCTGGGGCATTCTTTGACTTCTAGGATACCTATAACTTGTATGTTTGAACGCTTCTTAAAGTCCCATAATTCTTTTTTTTTTTTTTTTTTTTGAGACAAAGTCTCACTATGTCGCCCTGGGTAGAGTGCCGTGCTGTCGCAGCTCACAGCAACCTCAAACTCTTGGGTTTAAGCAATTCTCTTGCCTTAGCCTCCCAAGTAGCTGGGACTAGAGGAGCCTGCAACAATACCTGGCTACTTTTTTGTGGCAGTTGTCATTGTTGTTTAACTGGCCCCGGCTGGATTTGAACCCGCCAGCCTTGGTGTATGTGGCTGGCGCCCTACCCACTGAGCTACAGGTGCTGCCCAGTCAACCTTTGTTAATGTCCGGGGACTCTTCCTCGTTTTCTGATTTGCCTCTTCCCTGTTGTTGCTTTACTAAGGCAGTGTCTTCCTAAATCTCTCTGAAGGTACTAGTTTGATTTTACTGTTGTTGTTTTGTACCCTTCATGGTCTCTGTTTCTTTTGGGGTCAGTTTTATTTTTTCATCTTAACCTTTTTTGTGCTTTTCGTCTTCCAGAAATGTTTGAGGATCCTTGAGAGAGTTAAAACCACTTTCGCTGAAAAAAATGCTGTTTGGATTTAAATCCTGCCTCCAGTTTATTATTAATTGCTTACTTTGGCAGTGTTACTGTGAACGTGTCTGTGCCGCATATTATCTGTAAAAAAGAGGTACAGGCTCGGTACCCATAGCTCAGTGGTTAGGGCACCGGTGATGTGCACTAGGACTGGTGGGTTTGAACCAACCCTGCAAAACAACAACAACAACAAAAATAGCTGGGCATTGTGGTGGGTGCCTATAGTTCCAACTACTTAGGAGGTTGAGGCAAGAGAATCACTTGAGCCCAAGAGTTTGAGGTTGTTGTGAGCTATGATGCCATAGTACTCTACCAAGGGTGACAAAGTGAGCTGTCTCCAAAAACAAAACAAAACAAAACAAAATCCATTAAATACATTGAGTAGAGTTGGCAGATAGTAAATGGCAGCTTTTGGTAGTTTGGCTAAGGAGTAGGAGAGAGAAGATAGAAGAGGTTGGAGAAGTGGGAGTGGTGCCAGATTCTGGAGGCCCTTATATGCTACAGTAGAAGTTTATTCATTTAATTTTTGAGACAGAGTCTCTGTCGCCTTGAGTAGAGTGCTGGGGCATCATAGCTCACAGCAACCTCAAGCTCCTGGGTTTAAGCGATCTTATTGCCTCAGTCTCCCAGTAGTGCTTGCCACAATACCCAGCAAATTTTTTATTTTTAGTAGAGGCAGAGTCTCACTTTCACTGAGGCTCATTTTGAACTGAGCTCAGGCAATCTACCAGCCTTGGCCTCCCAGAGTGCTAGAATTACAGATGTGAGCCACTGGCCTGGCCTGCAGTGAGTTTATTCTGTGAGCAGTTGGAGCCTTGGAGGGGTTAAACGGTGGATGGTTCTAAATAAAGGAGATGGCATCAGGGTTTGGGAATCTGGGATGGGGCCCTGTGTGACTGTGTGTATGTGTATATGCATGTACTTGTTTGCAAACAAGGATGTATCTGCAGCTGCTGGACCTGTGGCCAGAGCCCTTGTCCTGCCCCTGCTTTTCCTGCAGGCTGTGGGTGAGTGTGGAGGATGCTCACCTACACACCGTCACCATCTGGCTCACAGTGCGCACCGACATGACAGTGGCTTCCCTCAAGGACATGGTGAGTGAGGAGGCTGAAGGGAGACATCGGGCGGAGGTTACCCATTTTGCTCTCGCCCCCTCTGTCCTCTGGTCCTCCCTTCTGCCATCCCTGTCTTGGTGTCTCTGCAGGTTTTCCTGGACTACGGCTTCCCGCCAGCGCTGCAGCAGTGGGTGATTGGGCAGCGGTTGGCACGAGACCAGGAGACCCTGCACTCCCATGGGGTGCGGCGCAATGGGGACAGTGCCTACCTGTATCTGCTGTCAGCCCGCAACACCTCACTCAACCCTCAGGAGCTGCAGCGGGAGCGGCAAGTGCGGATGCTGGAAGGTGAGGCTCTGCCCCACGCAGCATGGGACTGAGGGGCCCCACATCACCTGAGGCTGTAGGCAGCAGGGCAGAACTCCTGGGCCCCCCGCATGATCGTATCTGGGTAGAGACGTGAGGACATGAGACGCCTGGAGCAAACATTTCAGGGAACCGTTTGTGAACGGCTGGCATGGGGGACAGACCGATTCAGGCCTGGATCTGGCAGTTACAGCCAGATGTGACCTTGGGCCAGTTTATTCCTGTCTCTGCTCCACAGTTTGTTGAATTTATAAATTGAGAATGATGGTGTTGTGACTATTTGTTCTAAATGTTTTACTCTGGAAATATTTCAGACCTATGGGAAAATAGCAAAATTGTAGAAAGATTTATCTAAAGAATTCCCAAGTACTTCTCTTTTTTTTTTTCTGAGACAGAGTCTCACTTTGTTGCCCTCAGTGGCGTGCTGTGGCCACTATCAGTAGAGTGCTGTTGCTGTGGAGCAACCTCAAACTCTTGGGCTTAGGTGATTCTCTTGCCTCAGCCTCCCGAGTAGCTGGGACTACAGGCGCCCGCCACATCGCCCAGCTATTTTTTTTGTTGGAGTTTGTCCGAGGCCGGGTTTGAACCTGCCACCCTCCATATATGGGGCCAGTGTCCTACTCACTGAGCCACAGGTACCGCCCAAGAATTCCCAAGTACTTTTCATGTGGATTCCCTAAATATTAACATTTTCCCACCTTTGCATTGCTTTATCATTCTCCTGTATATAAAGTTATTTTCTGGACCATTTTGAGAGTTAGTTGCAGACGTGATGTTCCTCTCCCCTAAATACGTCAGTGTGTATTTCCTTAAAAAGAAAGACCATTTTCATACATTATCAGGCACAACTGTCCAGTTCAGGAAAATTTACATTGATATAGTACTGTTGTCTAATCTAGGTCTTAGATTTTACCGGTTTTCCCAGTGTCGTCCTTTGTAGTAAAAGACTTGGCATTTAGTTGTCATGTCTCAGTCTCTTTCAAAGAGTCCAGGCCAGTTTCTTCCATGGCCCGATGTTTGCTCTGGAAACAAGTCTGTCATTTGGCAGGACTGCCTCAGAGCACTGTGTACTCCTCTGGGCACATCCTCCAGGAGGTCAGGTTTTATGTGGAATTTTGAAGCCCAGAGGACATGAGCATTTGTGACCCTGGGGAAGCCAGGATGCCCACTTGACTGAATGGAGGCTGGAGACAGGTCCAGGGAGGATGGAGGATGGGTCTACCTGGCTAACTCGGTGTGGGTGAAGTGGGCTGCATGGATCTGACAGCTCTTCAACTCTCCTCCACAGGTCTGGGCTTCAAGGACCTCACGTTGCAGCCACGGGGCCCCCTGGAGCCAGTCCCTCCAAAGCCTGGGCCCCCCCAGGAACCCCCTCAGGGGCAGCCAGATGCAATACCTGAGCCCCCACCGGTAAGCTGCTGCCACGTGCCCTCTGCCCCCACCCTGCCCTACCCCGCTCAGTGGCCTGCTTTGCTCCCAGGTGGGCTGGCAGTGCCCTGGATGCACCTTCATCAATAAGCCCACGAGGCCTGGCTGTGAGATGTGCTGCCGGGCACGGCCCGAGACCTACCAGGTCCCTGCCTCGTACCAGCCTGATGAGGAGGAACGAGCGCGCCTGGCCGGCGAGGAGGAAGCACTGCGCCAATACCAGCAGGTGGGCGCGGAAGTCCCCACAGATACCTGCAGACCAGACAGGGAGGTGTAGGCCAGGAAGGGAGACATCTGCAAACTGCTGTTCTTTCCCATTACTGCCTTGCCCCCTCACAACCATGCCACTGGCAGTGATGCTGCACTTGGCCATGACCTGCCCTCCTTTAGAGATCACCCTGTGGTTGAAACCCTGCTCCTGGCTGTGTGTGAGGTACATCCAGGTTCACATCCCTGCTCCCACATGGTCATGGCTCTGCCTCCAGCTTTGACACATACCCTAGTACACACAAGTATCCCTGGCTGTGACCCTAGCACCTTAGCTGTTGCTCTGATCGTGCCTCCCCTTGGACCTCGGCCCAATCGTCTTATGACCTAAGTCCTGCTTCACACCCGTGACCTCACTCTGGATCCTACTAGTCCTGACCCTGCACTCTGGCATGGCCTGCCCCTCACTGCTCTCTGGGGGCAATCCCCCCTCTCTCTTGTCCTCTCTCAGCTGCCTTGATTGAGACACGTGCTCCCCTGGCACAGACACCTAGCCCTGCATGTTCCCCTATTCTGAGCACATGTTCCCCACTTCGCTTGGGGGTGACCCCATTCCTTGGCCCATCCACAACCTTGCTATGGTCCTTAAATGTTGCCTCCCTGCCATGACCTTGACCTGGCTCTACCACCACCCCCTGGCCCCACCACCAGTCTATAGCCCAGGCCTTGCCCTACTTCTTGGTGGGGATGTGAGCCCTGCTACCCCAGCTCCTCACTTACCCTGGTCCCCTTCCTGTCCTTGCCTCAGCATCCCTCATCTGGCCCTACCCCCAGCTCCAGCCCCATTCTAACTCAACAGGCCCACCCTGCTCCCAGCCCCTCACAGTCTGCCTCATGCCACCCTCCCCTGCCCACCCCCACGATTCCACGCTCACCCAGCCTTGCCCCCTTCATGGTCTGACCGGGCCCCTGAGACCCTGACCTGCCCCGTGGCCCCACCCCATGTGCCCAGCGGAAGCAGCAGCAGCAGGAGGGAAACTACCTGCAGCACGTCCAGCTGGACCAGAGGAGCCTGGTGCTGAACACCGAGCCCGCCGATTGCCCCGTGTGCTACGCGGTGCTGGGGCCCGGTGAGGCCGTGGTGCTGCGTGAGTGTCTGCACACCTTCTGCAGGTGCGGCCCCAGTCCCACCCCCGGCAGAAGGTGGGTGGGGCCCTGTGCTCTGACATCTCACTGGACGCCTGCAAAAACCTATGAGGTAGGCTCTATCTCTCCACTTGGCGGATGAGGAACATTAGGCACAGCGAGGTCAAGCACCATATCCAGGGCCCCGCAGCTCATAATAGAAACCTAGTCATCCTGGCTCCAGAGCCTGTGCCCTTACCCACTATCCTTTACCACCCAGACAAGGGGTTTGGGGCCTAGCCCTGGTAGCCTGTACCAGCTCACTCTAGGTACCTGCTCCTTTCTGAGTCTCTTGCTATGACCTTTCCATCCCTGGGTATGGAGAACATGCACCCATTTAGCACAGTAGATGTTTGGGGAGCAGCCCCTGCATGGCAGGCTCTGACCCTGCCTCCCGGAGCTTACACTTCAGTGGGAGGCTGGTGTTAATCACATCACCACTGATTGATACGGTTGTAAATTGGGCCAAATGCTGAGTAACAGGAGATTATGATACAAGCAACAGAAGCCCTGGGGGGTAGACAGGAGCTTCCGAGGAGGTACCCGTGGACCAGAGCCTAGAAGGGCTGCCATGGGCATGGGTCTGGCCTCCTGGAGGAGACTAAGGCGGTCTCGTGGCCAGAGCAGAGGGATGAAGGGGGAATTCGGAGAGAAGGACAGAGAGATGTTGGGGAGAACAGGTCATTACAGGTTGGTGGGTTTATTCTGGGTGCTATAGGGACCCATGGGGAGACATGGCTGCTGTGCTGAGATAGACTGTAGGGACAGGGTGGACACAAGCACCCAGTAAGGGGGCTACTGCCACCATCCAGGCCTGGACCTGAGTGTCAGGGGTGACAGTGGAGTGGACAGAGTGGAGGCTGTAGTGGTGGGATGATGGAAAAGAAGGAGGGACATTGAGGAGAAGCCCACCTGGAGTGGCTGAGAAAGGCCCCTGAGCTCAGGCCTCAGTAAAAGGGGTTCAGATGACCCTAACTCCCACCCCTCTTCCCCAGGGAGTGCCTGCAGGGGACCATCCGCAACAGCCTGGAGGCGGAGGTCTCCTGCCCCTTCATTGACAACAACTACTCGTGCTCGGGCAAGCTGCTGGAGAGGGAGATCCGGGCGGTAAGGCCTGGAGGTGGGAAGGGACACCCAGATCCCCGGGAACTGTGCCTGGAGTTGGCAGGTGGGGACTGGCTCAGGAGTGTGGGTCTCAGGCAGCATCCATAGTCACCTTCCCAGACATTTTCCCTGTGAAGTCCAGCCCCACCAAAGGGCATTGTGACGGGGCATGGTTTTATGCCAAAGGGCTGTATGAATTTCTTTGGAGCCCCTGGGAGTTGACCCAAGCCTCAGAAAAGGTCAAATGTAGCAGAGAGAAAAACGGATGGGGATCAGCAGAGTAATGCCACGGAGGTGGTTCCTACAAAAACAAAACACATGCCTAAAACACATAGAACCTGAGCAGAAATCAAAGAGAAAAATCACCTACACCACCAGCATTCCAAGGAAATCCTTCAGCTGTGTTTTACCCTGTTTCCTTCAGTGTTTCTGGGCAAACATGATTTTTTTTAAGTTAACTTTAGTAAAGTGTATTTTGCACATAATATAATGTGCCCATTGTAAGTATGCATTTAGTTGAGTTTCAAGAAAAACAGCTTGAACATAGACTTGATTTTTACTTCATTGTTACCAAATGTGGATGCTGTTTGCTTTCACTATTTTGCCACAGAATCTTTCTAAGGATTATTAGAAATCTCTATGGCTTATATACTATTTATACCTTTTGTTTTAGTAATCTAGTTGATCAGTGTGTGAGTTCTGTTTCAAGGAACACTTTGCCAGGTGCCTCTTCTTTATATGTTATTTTCTCTTTTTTTGCAGTTTTTGCCCAGGGCTGGGTTTGAACCCACCACCTCCGGCATAGGGGGCCAGCGCCCTACTCCTTGAGCCACAGGCACCGCCCTATATGTTATTTTCTTAGGATGAACCTAAAGAAGTGGGATGGGTGTGAAAGGGTTAGAAAACTGAACTGGTGGAGACATTATTGCCAACATCACTTTCTCAGAGTGTGATGTACTAGGAGACTAGTTTAACCACATCTTCCCCGGTATTGCTTGTTGTTATTTTTATTAATTTTTTTAAATTTTTTTTTTTTTTTTAGAGACAGAGTCTTACTTTGTTGCCCTCGGTAGAGTACTGTGACATCACAGCTCACAGCAACCTCCAGCTCTTGGACTTAGGCGATTCTCTTGTCTCAGCCTTCTGATTAGCTGGGACTACAGATGCTCACCACAACGTTCAGCTATTTTTTTGTTGCAGTTTGTTGTGTTTGAACCCACTACCCTCAGTATATGGAGCCAGTGTCCTTACTGAACCACAGGCGCTGCCCTATTAATTTTTTTTATTTTTAAAAATTGTGATGGTTCAGTGCCAGTGGCTCAAGTGGCTAAGGTGCCAGCCACATACACCAGAGCTGGTAGATATGAATCCAGCCCGGGCCCGCCAAACAACAATGACAACTATAACTAAAAAATAGCTGGGTGTTGTGGTGGGCACCTGTAGTCCCAGCTACTTGGGAGGCTGAGGCAAGAGGATCGCTTGAGCCCAAGAGTTTGAGGTTGCTGTGAGCAGAGATGCCATGGCACTCTACCCAGGGCAACAGCTTGAGACTCTGTCTCAAAAAAAAGAAAAATAAAAAAAATAATAATTGTGATAAAATATACATGAAATTTGCCACTTTAATCATTTTTAAGTGCTCAATAACTATATTCACATTGTCAGGCAGCCGTCACTACCCTCCATTTCCAGAACTTTTTTAGATCTACTTTTTCATGGAGTTTTTAGTACCAGGAAGGTTACGTGAAGAAAAGACGAGCCTACGGCTGGGTCAGAGTTTACGAGCTGGGGGCTTTCTGGAGGATATTTGGTAGCAAGAAAGGTCATGTATTGAGTATTCTGAACCTTGAGCAGTGAGGATGTGGTCTGTTGGTAGCTCCTGACCCCTGAGGATTACCAGCGATTCCTAGACTTGGGCATCTCCATTGCTGAAAACCGTAGTGCCTTCAGCTACCACTGCAAGACCCCAGACTGCAAGGGATGGTGCTTTTTTGAGGATGATGTGAACGAGTTCACCTGCCCTGTGTGTTTCCACGTCAACTGCCTGCTCTGCAAGGTGAGGACAGGGCCCTGAACTGCCTTGCCACTTTCTTCCTGCTGGGTGCCCAGTGTGTCGCAGTGCTTGTTCTCCTGGGCAGGGATCTGTGACACACGCTGGAGGTCAAGACTTAGAGCTGCGTGTCAGCAAGAGTGTGTGGCCTGATCCTGAACTGGGCCCTGACCCTGTAGACAGAGACTCAGACCTGGCCCCAGGTGAAGCTTCAACCTAGACAGCCCCAGTCCCAAATGAAGCCCTGACCCTGGCCTTCAGCTGTTACTAGCTCTGGCCCAATCACAGGTTGAATCCTGGTCCCATACTGAGCCAAGGGCCAACCCTGGCTTTTGACTCGGTCTGTAGCAGACCAAGCCCTGACCCAGTCCACACCAAGTGTCCACCCCTGTCCTGAGCTGAGCTCTGACCACAGTACCAGACTCAGCACTGCCTGATCCTTCCCTAGGCCTACCCTTCCCCTGATCATCTCAAGACTTGACCACTAAGGCAAGGAGCACGTAGACAGATCTGGAGCCTGGTCTCAGGCACAGCTTAGTGAGCTGTCTCTGAGCACTGGGCCTATAAGTGGGGCAGAGCCTAGGCTGGGCCACAGCCTGTGGAAGAGATGCGCCCATTAGAACTCAGAACAAATAGGCATAGATGGGTTTTGATGACTCTGATTTCACCTCCCTGGCTTGGGTGTTTTCTTCTGTCAATGGGTGTGTGGTTACAGAACAAGGCCCCCTCACTGACACATCCAGAGGCAGTAAGTGCTTACACAGATCCCAACCCTTCCCTCACCTTTCCCAGCCTCTTAACCCCCAGGGCAGCCTTTTTACCTCAAGCCTTTCACACCCCTTCAGGCCATCCATGAGCACATGAACTGCAAGGAGTATCAGGATGACCTGGTCCTGCGGGCTCAGAATGATGTAGCCGCCCGGCAGACGACAGAGATGCTGAAGGTGAGTCTGGGACAGGGCTGCGGGCTGAGGATTTGGGCTCTGGGAGTCAGTTGAGACTGAGGGCTTCTCAGAGAGGACTGTATGCTCACACATCCCTGGAGGCCCTGACCTCCTTGTGGCTGTCACTCCCATCCAGGGATGAGACTTAGGCCAAGTACGCAGGTGGCCTAAGGTGGCAGCAGCAGGGAGAGTATCTGGGTGGAGGGAGGAGACCACAGGGGTGAGGGGGGTGCTGGATGGACACCAGTCTGGTGGAAAAGCAGGGAAAGTGATATCACAGCTCCGGGGTTGCTGCAGTCGGGAGGGGGTCGGGCAGGACCAGGCTGGGCGGCTGCACCAGCCCACACCCAAGTCAGTGCCTGTTCCATTCCAGCTGATGCTGCAGCAGGGTGAGGCCATGCACTGCCCACAGTGCCAGATCGTGGTGCAGAAGAAGGACGGCTGTGACTGGATCCGTTGCACTGTCTGCCACACTGAGATCTGCTGGGTCACCAAGGGCCCGCGCTGGGGCCCTGGGGTGAGTCCTTGGGAAGCAGAGGGCTCGGCAGTGGGGTGGGGAGGCTGCCCTTGTGGGGTCTGCCCTTCAGGAGGCTTGGGAAATGATAGCCCATGAGCCAGGTCCCATCCAGCACTGGTGTTTGTACAGTCCCCGAGGTAAGAATGTTCTTTACATCTGTAAATGGCTGAAAAATATCAAAAGAGGAATATTTCATGACATGAAAATTATATGAAATCCAGATATCAGTGTCCATAAAGTCCTTTGGAGCAGAGCCATCCATTTATATATTGTCTGTGGTGGCTTATGCACTACAGAGGCAGGGATCCTGTGGCTTGTGAAGCCTAAAATGACTGGCTCATTGCTGAAAAGGTTTGCCCACCCGTGCTCTAGAGGACCATGAGTGACGGTGTAGTCTGGAGGCTGACCCCTGGCTCTGGCACATACTGGCTGTTCTCCCTCTGGGCCTAAGTTTCTTCCTCTGTGAAATGCAGACGATAGCAGGGCCTATTGCAGCCTTGTTTACAGAATCTAGTGAAAAAAATGCAAGAGAAGTGCTTAGCAGAGAGCCTATCACATGGTGAGCACTCCACAAGTGGTAGCTATTGTTATGAGGGGTGTGTTTCTGGAACTGGGGCTCGCTGTTACCTTAGACTAAGACTAAGACAGAGGTCAGACACAGTGGCTCATGCCCATACTCCTAAGACTTTGGAAGGCTGAGGAAGATCACTTGAGCCTGAGTTTGAAGTTGCTGTGAGTTATGATAGCACTGCACTCTTGTCTTGGCAATGGAGTGAGACTTTATCTTAAAAAAAATAAAAATAAGTACAGATGGATGCAGAGAGTAAGCTGCCCTCTTTCACTCTGCCAGTATGCTGGCCTGTCCAGAATGTGCACAGTGGTCAGGTCCTTTCCCTGGGGTGGGTAGGCTGAGTGCTGTGGGAGCCCAGAAAAGGCTTCAGGGACTGTCTCCATTAGGAAGCCAAGGCCATGAAGGCCATTCTTAGCAGGAGGGCCTGCAAGGGCAAGGCTTCGAGTGGGGGAGTGTGCTCAGCTTTGGGGGCCATCTGTGTGCTCTGCCTGATGTTATCTCTTCTCTCCCTCCCTTCCTCCAGGGCCCAGGAGACACCAGTGGGGGCTGCCGCTGCCGAATGAATGGGATTCCTTGCCACCCAAGCTGTCAGAACTGTCACTGAGCTAAAGATGGCTAGGTCCTCATGCTGACCCAGCCCCGCATCTGCAGTCTGTGTGGTACAAGGCTGGGCTTGGGGCTTTGGCTCCAATTTCTGGCTTGGGAGATGCCTTTGTGTTTGGCCAAGACAGGGGCCCTATGGAGGCTGGGGCCTTTGAGCTGCATGGACAGTTTCATTTGCTATAGGAGTTACAGGGGCCCCGCCTATGCTGCTGTTGTCCAAAGTCACATCTGTCCCAGTGCCTTTGTCCTTCCTCTCGGGCTCTCTGCAGCTCCAACCTCTGCCTGACCCAGCCTTAAACACAGCCCCTGGCCAGAGCCACCATGTGACTCTGTCCTCCTCCCAACCTCCATCTTCCATCCTCGTCTGGTATACACCAAGCACTCACAACCTCCCTCCTGGCTCTTTGGAAGGTGACTTTTCTCTGATGTTGTGGTTAGAGGCCTGGAGCTTCTTAGAACTCCTGCTAACGTGGTCCGAGCCAGAGGGAGAGCAGGCAGGTTTGAAAGCACAGCCCATCATGCCTGGCTCTGCATCTCCCTCTCTGCTGTCTATGTGAGCTAATTAAAATAGTTTTCTAGGAAGGGGTGAGTGTGATGTCCTTGAGAAGAAGTAACTGTCAGGGGCTGGGACTACACATAGGATCTGAAGTTCTCTGGAACCTTCACCAGGAAGTTGATGTGTCTGAGCACTGACACATACCAGACTTGGCACCCCTGTGCCCAGCTTCACAGGGAACGGTTAGTCAAGAGGAGTTTGCAACATGTCAAGAGCCTGAAGAGAAGGGCCTGCAAATCAGCTCAGCATGGGCTTAAGGGGGCAGCATGGGCTGCCACTCCCTTTTGGTCTCTGGGTAAGCATCCAGGGCTGCAGGGCAGAGACAGTTCAGGAACAGATAGGGCTGCTGCAATTGAGGGGAGAAGTCCATTCTTATTTTAACTTCTGAGGCAAGATGGTGAAGTGCTGATCCTGCAGTATTTATCAGTACCCAGCTGCTAGTCAAGAGTAATAAAATAGGCTCGGTGCCTATAGCTCAACCGGCTAAGGCGCCAGCCATGTACACCTAAGGTGGCGGGTTC